CCCCGGGCGGTTCCCCCGGCATCCGCCCCGCGGTTCCCCCAGTTACGTTCCTTTAGCTTAGCGTTGTTTATATCATCTTAGCTTAGCCTAGCTTAATTTAGCTTCGCTTAGTTTAGCCTAGCCTAGCTTAGCTTAGCTTAGCTTTGTTTGTCTTAGCCTAGTCTAGCTTAGCTTAGCTTAGTTCAGCTTAGCGCAGCTTAGCGCAGCGCAACATTAGCATAGCATAGCATAGCATAGTATAGCGCAGCATAGCATAGCGCAGCATAGCATAGCATAGCATAGCGCTGCATATCATAGCACAGCTTAGCTTAGCTTAGCACAGCGCAGCATAGTATAGCATAGCATAGCATAGCATAGCGCAGCATATCATAACATAACATAGCGCAGCATAGCATAGCATAGCATAGCATAGCATAGCATAGCATAGCGCAGCATAGCATAGCATAGCATAGCATAGCATAGCATAGTGCAGCATAGCATATCATAGCATAACCTAGCACAGCATAGCATAGGGCAGTATAGCATAGCATAGCATAGCGCATCATAGCATAACATAGCATAGCGCAGCATAGCATAGCATAGCATAGCATAGCGCAGCCGAACATACCCTAGCATAGCATAGCATAGCGCAGCATAGCGCAGCATAGCATAGCATAGCATAGGACGGCGTTTATCGTTATCATGAATATTGCTCTCCTCGGGGATCCAATTCCTAGGTAGGGTCGCTCTGGGATAATTTATGTTTCGCCCAAAATCCCCCTGTAGGGGACAGGTCCGACTTCAGCCGTGCAGCGGTGTTGGTGCTCTTCCGTTTTACCATCAGGACTGCGCCGAAAAACGCATCCGAAGCTTTGAAGCCTCGATCGTCGAGGACGACGACGACGACGACGACGACGACGACGACGACGACGGACGACGGCGACGACGACGACGACGACGACGACAACGACGACGCAACGACGACGACGACGACGACGACGACGACGACGACGACGACGGCGCGTACTCCTAGCTGTCCAGTTGTCCAACATGAGGTGAGCAGCGCGGATTGCACAGCCAAGACGCTGAGATAAGGACCTTTGGGGCTCAGGAGGGACTCTGGTTGACATACACTCAACGCGCAGAGTAAAGACGCGCGCCTTTTCTAGGGTACCATTGTGTCCTTGCCTTTGCGTCCCGTTCTTTGCCGATTCCACTGGGGTGTTGGTCGCCCGCAGTCCCAAGGTACCGATTCAAGAGGCTTACGCCTTCCATCCCAAACCCCCAGACGAGGATATCTGCGGTTTTGGACACCGTATGTGTTGATTGCCGCTTCCCGTCGGACTGCTTGCGTGGAGACTGCTAAGTCGTCCCCCTATTCCTCCGCGTCGGTTGCGGGGTTGCTTGAGGATTTCTCGAAGGCTTGAGAGACGGCTTCTTGGAGCCTTTTCAAGGCCCCTAGGGCGTTGGGGGCCCCCTCTCAGGGTGTCTTGTGGGCCTCTTGGGAGCATGTTGGGGGTCTTGGATACCAGGGTTCCCAGGGTCCTTGCGAGTTCCCCCTCTTGAAGGTATGGCCTCCTGGGCCGTCTTAGGGCTCTCTGGGAGACTTCTTGGGCCGTCTTGGGCCAGTCAGGGTGGCCTCTCGGACCATCCTGGATCAGCGGCGAGCGAGGGGGGTAAGTGAGAAGGAGAAGGCCTTCTCAGAAGGCTGCGTGGCTTCTCAGAAGCCCTTGCGCCTTCTGAAAAGTATGTTGTGTCTTCCAGGAAGGCTTAGAAAACTTCTCAGAAGTCCGGGGGATTTCCGAGCCTTCAGAGAAGGCCCGCCCCTTCTCGTTTCCCCCCAGGGCGCGCTGCCTATTGGAGCTTCAGAAGCCCGAATTGGTAAGAACGCGAAATTTTTCAGTCAACAACTTCTTGGACATCAATGATGTGTGCCGTTTGAGGCCCTCTGAGGGATATTATTTTGGGGGCCTTTTTGGGGCGTCCTGGGCTGTCGTGAAGACATGTTGAGTGCTCTTGGGGCCACTCCGGCGAGCTGGAGCCCTTCTGGAGCTTGGCGGCCACCGAGAGTAGGCCTGGAGGCTCCGAAGGCCCTAGCGTTGCGTCGAGGAGAGCGCGCGCCCCCCCCCCATTCTGGGGACGCGGGGCCCCAGGGGAGGGGGAGAGGGACAGCCAGGCACTGCACACGCTCGACACCCCCGTGCAAAGCGGGGGTCGGCGGGCTCGGGGCCGAGGCCCGCCGCGGCCGGGAGGTCCCGGCCGTTCCTCCCTCGGAGTTCCCTTGTGGCACCGCCGCGACCGGCACGCCTGCCACACCCGGCGAAGGAGTGCGCCGCGGCCGCGCGGGCGGCGCCGTTGGGGGACGTGCCGCGCAGGCAGGGCATGCGGTTCGAGGCCTTCGCCGAGGAGCACTCCCTGCAGCGCGGCAGCGGGGAGGCGCCGACGCGGCATCGCCTCCTCCCCCCGTGGCCCATTTTGCTCCTTCTGCTATCCATCCTCCTCCGCCTCCCCTCCCCTGCGTTCTCGCTCTCTCTCTCTCTCTCTCTCTCTCTCTCTCTCTCTCTCTCTCTCTCTCTCTCTATATATATATATATATATGTATTCCTCTCCCTCTCTCTCTCTCTGTCTCTGTCTAGGTCTCTCTCTCTCTTTCTCTCTCTCTCTCTCTCTCTCTCTCTCTCTTTCTCTCTTTCTCTCTCCATATGTGTGTATACATATATACATGCATCCCCCTGCATATTTCTCTCACTCTCTCTCTATATATATATATGTATTATCCTCTCTCCTCCTGTTCCCCGTTGTCCTCCCCTCCGCTATCCGCCACCTCCTGCCCCTCTCTCTTCTTTTCTGATTACCTCCTTCCTCTCCCTCCTCCCCCCCCTGCTCTTTCCACCGCCGCTATGTCCGCCACCACTCTTCCCCGCCCCGTACTCCTCCCCCGCCTTCTCCCCTCCCCCCTCCTCCCTCTCCTCCTCCTCCCCCTCCTCCTCCTCGTCCTCCTCCTCCTCCTCCTCCTCTTCCTCCTCCTCCTCCGCTTCGCCTTAGACCTCTCCACAGATTACGATCCTGGAGCGCGCGCGTCCCAACACTTACAAGGATGGAGAGCGGGTGATTTTCAACATTGAGTTCTGGCTTTCGCGCCGCACTCCTTCGTTTGAAAATGTGCAGCAACAGCTAAAAGGATGGAGAGGGTATGTGTTCGAAGGGGGGCTCTCGCCTTAGCGCCGCGCACCTCTTTTTCTTTACAGTTTGCACCAGTTTCATGGATGAAGGGCGGGCAGTTATCAAACTATGTATCTCGCTTTATCGCCGCGCACGATTGCATTTGTTAAGCAACAGCCAAAAGGCTGGGCAGCGGCTTCTTTTCTGAACGGGGCTTTCGCCTTAGCCCCGCGCGCGTTCGTCGTAAGAGTGTGCTGATGTTACTGGGACGTATAACTGCTCATGGGGGTCTCGCTGAAGACTTCCCTGGATAAAAAGAGAGACACAGGAGCTCAAAGTATAGCCAACAGCTGCACGTATGGAGGGCGGCTTCTGCGAAACATTGGAATATCACTTGAGCATCCTCGAGGTGGATCTCTCCGCGCCCTCTGCCGCTGCCGCCTTCGCGCGGTTCGGCGAGCGAGACACGCGCCGCGCACTCGCGGGACCGGGGCACTTCCAGGCGCGAGACCTGCACGGAGCCAGGCGATGGGGCCGACCGGTCGCCCGCCCGCGCGCGGCTCCGCCCACCTGCGACGGGAGCGAGTGGAGAAAGATGCTCCGCGCCGTTGCGGGAGCGGCACTTTCAGGCGAGATCTGCGCGGCGCCGAAAAGGGAGCGACGTGTTCATGTGGCTGCGGTTCGACGAGCTGGCGAGTGAAAGATACGCGCCACGCCCGAGAGGGAGCTCAATCTTGGGAAACAAAGAGGTGCGAGGCGCCGGAGCGAGAGCGGTATTCGCACTTTCGCGGGGGATGTGCACCCCGTCCATGTTGAGATGTCGATGGCAAAACGTAAATAGAGTTCGAAGGCCAGAGAGAGATCGAGAGGAGGAGGCTCAGGGCAGAGGGAGGGAGGGGGAGGAGGGGGAACGAGAACGCGCAGGTGGCGAACGAGAACGAAGGGCATGGCCCCCCCGCCGTGGTGAGAAGGCGTCCCATCGGCCCTCCTCGAGGCGGCTTCTCCTCCGTGCCGGGCCGCGCGAGAGCGGGCGGCACAAACGCTGCGCAGCCTGGGCGCGGAAGTGGCAGCGCGGGTGCGGCGCAGCGCACAGTGCTCGTCTTCGCCGCGCGCTCCTCGGGAAAGTGGGGCGGCCCGAGAAGGCAAAAGGGTGCTCTCGCCGTGGCGCCGCGCACGTGCTCTCAGAGTTGTCGCTCCCGCCAGTGCGCAGCCCGTGGCTCCCCCTTTTCCGAGTCGTCGGGAGCGGGACCGCGCGCGAGCGCCTTTCGCTCGCTAGGTGGGAATTTGTTCCAGTTCCAATATCACGTTGTGCCAGAATCGGTTCCTCTGTTAAAAAAGGGAGGGTGAAGATGCGCGGGGCTCGCCGACTCGTTCGACCTGACTAGCTAGACTCCTCCTCCTTCTCCTCCTCCTCCTTCTCCTTCTCCTCCCTCCTCCTCCTCCTCAAACTCAAACTCAAATTCAAACTCCAATTCCAAATTCTCTGGACTCCCTCTCCCGTCTTTGTCCTCCTCCCCCTCCTTCATTCCCCCCCACCCCCCTCCTCCTAATCCTCCCTCTCCCCCCTCCCCGTGCCTCGTGGGAGGCTCCCCGAGAAGCAGCGCCAGCGGCCCAGGGGCGCGTCGACTTGCTGCCGAAGCCGCTGCCCGCACCCAAGCAGCCAGTCGCCGGCCGGGCCCGCTCGCAGCCGCGGGGTGGTGTTTGCGAAGGGGGGGCGCGGCGCGAGGTGCGACGAGGGGCGCGGGGTAGGCACGCAGAGGAGCGAGGTGCGGGGAGGAGCGAGGTGCGAGGAGAGGTACGACGAGGAGGATGAGGAGGAGAAGGAGGAGGAGTAGGAGGAGGAGGAGGCGGGGGAGGAGAAGGAGGAGGAGGAGGAGGAGGAGGAGGAGGAGGAGAAAGAGGAGGGAGGAGGAGGAGCGAGGTGCGAGGAGAGGCACGAGGGGTGGGGGAAGAGGAGGAGGCGCAGGGGCGAGGCAGCCAGCAATTTGTGAGGTCGGGGAGACTTCCTTGGCCCAAGGGCACCACCATTGGCACGCCCTGGCCCTCGCTGGGGCGTCCGACCAGTGGTCGCTTGGGCGGGCCGCCTTTCCCAGTATTCCCCCACATCCAAAGTGGGGGGTTTGTTTTCTCTGCACACCCGCCGCGCAGTCTTCACACACCTCACCTCGCACCCCCTCTCCTCCTCACCATGTTCTCACACTCCACAGCACCATCATCGTCATCAGCATTGCACCATCAACAGCACTAAGATTACCCCATCATGGCCATCGGCCATCATCACCACCACCTTCACCATCACCATGATCACCGCCATCGTCATCATCACACCATATATTCACGCTCACCATCACCACAGCGTCATTCCTCGTCGTTACCATCACAATTTCTCACATCATCATCAGCATCATCATCAGCATCGCCCACACACGCCCGCACACACACACACACACACACACACACACACACACACACACACACACACAAGCACACACACACACACACACACACACACACACACACACACACACACACACACACACACACACACACACACACACACACACACACACGCTTGAGGATGTCTCAGGTTGGGGGGCCCTCCCTTTCGGGCCCGCATATCGCGTTACTAATCCGAATTGGTCATCGGAAACTGATACTTTGGGTTTCCTCGGTTCTGAATATGACTGAAGTCTTGAGCGGGAACCTCGTCGGTGAGTGAATTGCGAGGACGTCTCAGGCGGGAGCCCCTTCAATATAGGGCCCGCAGATCATATTACAAAACCGAGCAGTTCATCGGAACCTTGTGATTGTCGTCATTTTTGGGCTCTTCAGTCCTGAATATGGCGGCAGTCTCGAGCGGGAGCCTCGTCTGTGAGTGAATTGCACGGAAGTCTCAGGCGAGACCCCCCCAATATGGGACCCGCAGATCGCGTTATTAATCCGAGCGGGCCATCGGAAGCTTGTGATTGTCGTCATTTTGGGGCGCTTCAGTCCTGAATATGGTGGCAATCTCTGGCGGGAGCGTCCGTTTGTGATTCAATGGCGAGGAAGTCTCAGGCGGGATCCCCCTCGCTATGGAACCCGCAGAACATGTTATTACTCCTGGCGGGTCGTCGGCACCCTGTAACTGCTGTCTTCCTGTTGGCCTCTTCAAGTTTGAGTATTGAGAAAATCTCTGGTGGGACGATCCGTCTGTGATTGACTGGCGAGGAAGTCTCAGGCGGGAGCCCCCTCCGTATGGGGCCCGCCGTTCATTTGACCAATCCAAGCGCGCCATCGGAACGTTGTAACGATCGTCGCGTCTGGCCTCTTGAAACCAGGCGTCTCGAGCGGCAGTTCTGTCTGTGAGTGAATGGCGAGGGCGCTCATGCGGAACATGCTAATCCTGCGGCCGCCCACGCGAGAGTTCTTGGAGCGCGGGTCGCTGGCTTCCCAGGGAGTTCGACATGAAAGTCGGGAGCTCCAGGGCTGAGGCGGAGCAGCCCGCGGCAGAGCTGGGCTTCGCGCTGCATCCCGCCTGAGCGCGGCCACAAGTATCTCGAGACTCCCGGTGCTGTCTGAACAGACTGCTCCCGCGCCCCAGCGGTTCATGGGATTGCCCCAACGGCGTGACCCAAAGGAGTGCCCCAGCGGCTTCGCGATCTGGCCATCGGGGAACGCGCCCGTGCCGGCCGTGGCGGCAACGGCGCCAAAGAACATCGACTTCCGCGCCCTTGCTAAAGGGGCGGGGGAGGAGGTGGATGGAGAAGAAGAGGCAGGAGGACGAGGAGGAGGCAGAGCAGGGGGCGGGAAGAGGGAACCCGCCAAAGCGGAAAAGGAGAAGGGCGATGAGGAGACGGGAATAAGCTTGTGCACTCACAAGGACGACGATGAGGCCCACTTCCAGATTATCGTTGGGGGGCAGCTCAATCGGTGTCGGACCGACGGAGCAATTCTTTCATTTGTTGTCATTCAGAAGCGCGCTCGTTTATTGAATGGGTTCCGGCCTTCACCCGTTGTTGAAGAAAAACAAAAACAAAAAAAACAACAACAAAAAACGAGGAAGCAGGGGCCAGAAGAAAGAGAAGGCGGGGCGGGGGGGGGAGGGCCATCCGGGCCCCTTCGCACTCCCGCGCCGCCGCCCCGTGGCCCCGCGGGTGCGATTCCCGTCGCCTTGCGGTCTCCCACGGGCGACGACACATTCGAGCAGCATACACCTCACGAACCGCAGGGTCTTCCCTGCGACCCTAAGCGGCCCTGATACACCCGTGTCGAAGCGCAACACGCGCCGTGCCCAAAACATTCGTGTTAGCACGTTGCGTGCTGTGTCGGCACGCGTTGGCCCACGTGTTGGCGAACGCGCATCGCGCCAGACCAACGGTTGTAGCTTCCGTGTTGAATTCCGTGTCGACACGCGGCGTGTTGCGTGCTGCGTACTGGGGCAGCTGAGCCGTGCGACCTGCTGATTTCCGGCGGCGGCCCACGTGCTCATCGCTGCGATCTCCAGGACATTTGGTGCGACCCGCGTTGTCAACACTGGCGGCGGCGCCCTCTGTGCCACCGCCGTCCTGCCTTTCGGGCCACGCTGGGGCATTCTGAAGCAGTGTCGGGAGTCCCTGGGGCCTCCTCCTCCTCCTCCTCCTCCTCCTCCTCCTCCTCCTCCTCCTCCTCCCTCCTCCTCCTCCTTCCCTCTTCTCTCTTCCTCCTCCTCCTGCTCTTCCTCCTCCTTTTCCTCCTTTTTCTTTTTCCTCCTCATTGTCCTCCTCCTCCACCTCTTCCTCCTCCTCCTCCTCCTCCTCCCCTCCTCCTCCTCCTCCTCCTCCTCCTCCTCCTCCTCCTCCTCCTCCTCCTCCTCCTCCTCCTCCTCCTCCTCCTCCTCCTCCTCCTACTCCCCCTCCTCCTCCTCCTCCTCCTCCTCCTCCTCCTCCTCCTCCTCCTCCTCCTCCTCCTCCTCCTCCTCCTCCTCCTCCTCCTCCTCCTCCTCCTCCTTCTCCCCCTCCTCCTCATCTTCCTCCTCCTCCTACTCCTCCTCCGTGACGAAGGAAGTAGGGAGAGGGAGAGGAGTCCTCCCCCCTCCTGCCTTCCTCGCGACGGCCATCGCCGGGCCCACGACGGCGGCGGCGGCGGCGCCCAAGCATCACGGAGCCGAGGCCTGTGAGCGCCAGCCGCAGGGCCGCGCCGGCGAGAGCGCGCAGGCCCCCCGCGGCCCTCGGCGGCCCCTCGGTCGGCCCTCTGGTCGGCTGTTGGCGGGTGGCCCTCCGGCGGCCCTCGGCGGTGGCGCGGAGGTCGGCGGCGTCGTCGTCGCCGACCGCTGGAGTCGTCGTCGTCGGTCGGTCGGCGTCGGCGTCAATCGTTGAAGACGTCGTCGTCGTTTTTGTCGCTCGTTTCCCCGTGGTGATCGTCGTGGTCGTTTGGTGTCGTCTTCGCGGTCGTGGTCGTGGTCGTGCGCGTTGTCGCGTCGTCGTCGTCATCGAGGGTCGAGGTTCTGTGCACGCTTTCGACCCTTTCTTGGGCCTCCGTCAGCCTCGGAGGGTCGAGTGTCGAGGCTGTTGAGCTGTGTCTGGCGTGGTTGCTGGGTCCTGACCTCCGAGGGGGTGCCCTCGTCACCACGGCTGGATCCGCATCGAGATCCTGGTCAGAGCGCGCGTCAGGAGAAGTCCGGGGGTCGATTTCGAGCGGAGCAGGAGGAGGAGGAGGAGGAGCAGGAGGAGCAGGAGGAGCAGGAGGTGGAGGTGGAGGGTGGAGGAGGAGGAGGGGGAGGAGGTGGGGGAGGAGGGGAGGAGGGGGAGGAGGGGGAGGAGGAGGAGGAGGAGGAGGAAGGAAGAGGAGGAGGAGGGAGGAGGAGGAGGAGGAGGAGGGCCGTAGCCATTTCGGCTCAAGTCCGTAGTGTTTTGGCACAGGACCTGGACTTACTGGCGCGGGGGAATTGACGGCCACCGAAGTCACGCCTCGTTGACCTGGTCAGACGAGGATTCCTTTACGGCAGCCGGCGTTCGCCCGCCAGCGCAACCACGATTCTTCTTTCCAGTAACCAGTTAGATCCCTGGCTCAAGCCATGGTGGGGCTGGGGATGCCGCGGCTGCAATGCGTGGAACAAAGGAAACAAAAAAACGATGCTACAACTGTGGAGGCTATAACCCAGCACACAGAGGAGCTCCAGTCCCTGGACCTCGCCGCCAACAGCGTGGAGCTTGGGCCTGGGGACCAGGACTGGCAGGCACACCACCGTGGGCGCAGAGCGGCACGGGTAAGACGGGAAACCAGCAACAGGCAGCAACAGAAGGGTGTGCTCCAGCGCAGCAGCTTGATGACAAGCAAATGGAAACTTGGGTACTCATGGCAGATGACCAGTTCGAACTGCTCGCGGGAGTGCTCTCCAGAAGCCAGCGGGACAAGATGCAGCACCGCAGACGGTTTCGGGCAGCAGGCATGGAGGACTCCAAGTCCAATCGTGGCATGCCGCGGGCGGTGGCTCGAGCCCGGAACCGAGTGCTCCAAGCCAGCCAGCGGGCCGAAAGAGCACAGCAGGCAGCCCGCGATGCCGCCATGGAAGTTGAGCTGTGAAGGCCCAGCAGGTGCTGCAGCAGGCGCGAGAGGACCTCGACAACGCAAAGCAGGAGGCTGCCAACCGCATCGGCTCCAGCGTACCACCGGCAGGCTCGGCCACCCATGCAGAGCTATGGGACCAGGTCGCCAAGTTGGCCCAGCTGGTCAAACAACTGGCGGGGCCATCAGACGAGGGAAGAGCGGCGGCAGGAGATGTGCCAGCTGGAGCAGGGGTGCTTGACCCCTATCGCGAAGGCGGGCAAGGAGACCATGGAGAAGGTCGAGGCGATGCGGCATCGGGCAGGCGCTGGCGCGGCTTCAGCGACAAGTGATGTTTCTCCTGGGGGAGGTCCCAGCCCAGATGACGAGGACACCAGCAAGCGCATCAGAGACATCATGGCCCAGTGGAACGACAACACGCCCGAGGATATTCGAGTCAATACGATGGCGGGCTTCTTCCAGACAGAGGCCGCAAAGCGGCCACGGCAGAACATGCGAAGGAGCATTTCCAACCATACCCCACGCACCCCCCAAGATCCCTGAAGGGCTCACTGACAGGCGTCAGCAGAGACCCGGGGGAAGGATGGGCGAGGGAAGGTGCACGCATCTCCAGGGCGCCATGGCCGCAGACGCGCGGGCGGCCGCTGCCCATGGCACTGGGGACCTGCACCGCGGGGCCCTCGACGGAGGGGTGGCCGACGCCCCCGCGCTAGGATGCAGGAGCGGCGCCCCAGCGACGGCCTATGCGACACCCACGAGCCCAGGCGAGCTCCCTGGACCAATCCAGCAGAGCCCAGGAGGAGGTGTCGGCACGGGAACGACGACCCCAATTTCAGCCAGGCGTGAACCAGGATTTCCAGCAGACATACCCCACGCGCTTCCCAAGATCCCCGACGGGCTCACTGACAGGCGCCAGCAGAGACCAGGGGGAGGGACGGGCGAGGGAAGGTGTCAGGTGGGCACCGCAGGCACGCATCTCCAGGGCCCCATGGCCATAGACGCGCGGGTGGCCGTTGCCCACGGGACCGGGGACCTGCACCGCGGGGCCCTCGACGGAGGGGCGGCCGACGCCCCCGCGTTGGGAAGCAGGGGCGGCGCCCCAGCTACGGCCCGCGCAACGCCCACGAGCCTTGGCGAGTTCCCTGGACCAATCCAGCAGAGCCCAGGAGGAGGCGTCGGCACAGAAATGGCGACCCCAATTTCGGCCACGCGCGAACGAGGATTTCCAGCAGACACACCCCACGCACTCCCCAAGATCCCCGAAGGGCTGGCTCACTGACAGGCGCCAGCAGGGACCAGGGGGGGGGATGTGCGAGGGAAGGCGCCAGGCGGGCACAGGAGGCACGCATCCCCAGGGCCCCATGGCCACAGACGCGCGGGTGGTCGACGCCCGCGGGACTGGAGACCTGCACCGCGGGGCCCTCGACGGAGGGGCGGCCGACGCCCCCGCGCTGGGACTCAGGAGCGGCGCCACAACTACGGCCCATGAGACACCCACGAACTTTGGTGAGCTCCTTTCCTTCGGGCAAAGAGTGGATCCCCCCGCGGGAGTCTCGGGCGAGTCGGACTTTGCCGCCAGAGCCCTCAGCGCTGCGCCGCGTGATTCTGGGCGCGCGACGGGACAGAACGAGGGAGACCGAAGTCCTCGCACCCCCTGCCCGCGGATCTATCCGACGATGAACGAGGATCCCCAGCAGACATACCCCACGCACTCCCCAAGATCCCCGACGGGCCCGCTGACAGGCGCCAGCAGGGGTCAGGGGGAGGGACGGGAGAGGGAAGGTGCCAGGCGGGCACAGGAGGCGCGCGTCTCCAGGGCGCCATGGCCGCAGACGCGCGGGCGGCCGCTGCCCATGAGTCTGCAGACCTGCACCGCGGGGCCCTCGACGGAGGGGCGGCCGACGCCCCCGCGCTGGGACGCAGGAGCGGCGCCCCAATTACGGCCCATGCGACACCCACGAGCCCTGGCGAGCCCCCTGATCATTCCAGCAGAGCCCAGGAGGAGGGGTCGGCACGGGAACGACAACGTCAATTACGGCGGGGCGCGCAGTAGAGGACGCGGCAGTCGCGAGGCCCGCGGGCCCGCCGAGCGCCGCGAGCCTCTGGAGGTCTCTGGAGCCAGGGGCTGCCGCAGGCGCGGGGCATGCAGCGCAAGCGAGGGCGACGGACGGTGACGATGCTCAAGCTGCCGGGCAGGGCCCTGGCGTCAGTTCGCAAAGTCCCGGCGCGCCAATGCGGCTACCAGGCTCAGTCGCCACGGGTGTCAGATCGCAGAGCCCTGGCGCGCCACTGCGACTACCAGGCTCGCCGTCGCCACGCGAGCCCAAGCTCGACAGCGATCTGGACGCTGAGGAGGGGGTGGAGGTCGGGATGCCCGCGGGCCCGCCAAGTGCCGCGAGCCCTCGCCCGGGGGCTTCCGCTGGCGCGAGGCGCAGAGAGCGCTCCGCTACTGGAGGGGTAGCCCGGGCGGGGTCCGACCACCACGAGGGGCGGCGCGACGGCCAGGGGGGGGTTGTTCTATTTCGCGAGAGCCACCAGCTGGAATGACAAAGGCATGGACTACCTCAAGCACGTAGACAGCGCCCTGGGAAGGGCACACGTTCGGGGAATAACTGAGCACCATCTGCGAGATAGATAGAAGGCTCAATGAAAGCAAGAAGCGCATCTCCCAGCTAGGATGGGCAACCAAAGCGGTGGCAGCAGTACCCACGGCCACGGCCGGAGCACGAGGACACGGTGGCCAGTGGCTCTGTGCCCTGAAACATCTAGCTTGGAAGTCGCAGCAGGCCCCCTTGAGAGAGAACAATGGACGGCCACCACAAGCAGGCTGAGGGGCATTGAGAGAATTCATGTTTCCATGCATTCGGCAGTTGGAGTGGGACTGACAGGGCCAAACGCGGGAACTATAGGCAGCATGGCATCTTTTCTGAAGGCCAAAGGCCTGCCGGTCATAGTCATGGCCGGCTGGAAGGTGGAAGAAGGGGAGATGGGGGGCCTCCAGCTCACCACCTTCCTGCGCGTAGTCTGGTGCAAACCCGTAGCGGAGCAGCCTGGAGGGCACCGCGCGATGAATGATTGCCTAGTGTCCGAGCAGCTCGCAGGCACCATCACGCTTCAGTGGGATATGAGGGGGCCGTGGGCAGCACCTCACTTCGGCATAGTAGGCACGTCGCGGATTGCGGCGACTCGCCCTGCTCCAGCCAGCGCCAATCCTAGCAGCTAGCGGCCCAGATCTCCCATGGCAGTGCCACATGAGAGCAGTCCAAGGCCGCGTGGAGTAGGGCACGCAGCACGCAGCACTCGCGCATGCCAGGTCGGGGGGGCCCAGAGAAGGTGCACATGGAGTTTGCTATGGCGGCAGAGCGAATGACAAGGGTCGGGGAGGAGGTCTGGCGCCTGGGACGGCGGAAGCCAGCGGCAAACGGATGGAGGATCTCATAGCGAGGCCCGCGGATTTGAAGGGCCAAATGGACCGAGCCTTTTTATAAATAATATATATATATATATATATAGAAAAAACTCAGAGGGCAGTTGCAAGCATAGCACAGGCCACCACGGAGCAACTATCCAGGCCAGTCAGAGACCTGGACCGCACGTTCCAGAAAATAGAGAGAAGCCACCTGAACAGTCGATCGCAAAGTTTCAAGGACTGGATCCAGGCCAGTCTCAAGAGAGGGGCAGGAGCGCTGCATAGGCACACTAAGCTGTGGGGAACGCCTGAGAAGAACCTCTCAACGGATAAGGACCAGTCAGGTGAACCCATCTTAGACCCGCTTCTTAACACCCAGCGCAAGTCATGGTACTGGCCCACGTTTTGGCAAGTGCAACAGCAGCGGCCCGCAGACACAGCTACATGCTGGAGCCCATCACCTCACATGAGTTAGCAGAAGTGTTGAAAGTGCTTACGCCAGTCATAGGGATGGGAGTGGACAGAAACAATCCACACTGGTGGAGCCAACTGCCACAAGAATGGATCCTCCACCTCACCTACCTTCGTAGTATCGTCGAACAGTCCCTGGCCTGGCTTGCGCAGATTCTGGTCAATGTAGTCCAGCTCATGCACAGACCAGAGGAGCCGGACAGACCCACCACCCTCACCCAGGCAACGTACCAAGTGCGGCCCAGGATTCGACGGCCACAAGTAGCAGGCCACAAGACAGCAAACATGGAAAAATGTACGATACGCTTCAGCCGCAGCAACTCTGGCAAGTAGGCGAGGGGATAGGATATCCGCTCACGCACTTGAATTTGGCGCTCAGCCTTCACTGTGGGCCCAGGCTCTGCCAATGGTACGGAGTAGTAGCGCAGTCAGTGCAGGCCTCCAAAGGCGCCCTCGCAGGATGCAGCCAGAGCGTGGACATGTCCAGGCTGGCGTTGCGGCAAATGCTAGCAGAACTGCACGCTCAGTACATCCCAGTACAATTCCAGAGCTGGGTAGACGATGTGACACAAGCGACCATAGGTACTGAACGAGAGGTCATCGAAAAGACAACGATGGCGGCGACAGCGTTCGCCAACCAGAGCAGGGAGCAAGGCCTCCGCACATCGGTCAAGAGTACGCCAGTCCCCAACCCACCTCGCATAGCCAGGCTGCTGGAGGTCGGGGTCACATTTAAGGCCAGTCAGTTCGTCAAGTACCTTGGAGCGGACGGCACGGCACATCGTAGGGTCACGGTCAGTGGCAAAAAGCGCCAGCAGGCCATTGCCGTCCGAGGCGAGATGATCAAGCGAGTAGCCAAGACAGCCGGGAACGCCATCAGCCTGGCCAAAACCGGGCACATTCCGCAGGCGGCTTGGGGCTCGGGGGCCCAAGGTTTAGTATCCTCTGCGCTGCTGAAGCTGCGAGCCCAGATATCAGGGATGATAAGCCGAAAGGAAGGGGGGCGCGCGACTACGACGATTCGCGTGACCTTCCCTTCGGCACATCAGGACCCAAATGGTCTTTGGCAGGCTGCGACTGTTTAAAGAATGGCTGGCGCTCCTGCCGCGACTCACTGCGCATCGCACGCAGGCGATTGAGATAGCTTGGAAGAAAGCCTGGACGCCGCAGCAGACAGCAAACAGCAAATGGAGCCAATGGAGCCGCGTCAAAGGCACGCTCACAGCCACCGTCGCCGCGCTGCAAGATCTAGGATTATCCGCACAGTCCCCCTGGCTTCGGCGGAACCAATACGGGGAAGAGATAGACCTGGATAAGGATGAACCCGAGCGCGTGCTCGAATACGAATGCTACGGTGCACTGGACCAACAGGCCTGGCTTGCAGTGGCCAAGCATTACGAAGGCAAAGGGCTGGAGTTCGGCGCCAGTCGCAGATTCGGTGACGAGGCGGCGAG